GATGAAGTGTCTGCATGTGGTGTGTTGTTTCTCTCTTTCATTTTTACAATTATATATACATATGTAGTATGGAGTGTGTCTGAGAGTGTAAGAGAAGCAAAAAGAAAGAAAGAAAAGAAAGAAAGCTTCTACGTGTGTATGCAAAAAGGAAGTGCCAATAATAAGGCCTTGTTTGGTTAAGTTCATTTCTAAATTGAGTGATTAAACACCTATTGTTTCCTTTGAGTTGATCCTAAATTACCATTACTTCCGCAAATACCCAACAAATTTGGTATCAGAGCTAATACCCTTTTATCCTCTCAAAAAATCCCTACTTTCTAGCCTACACAAATTTTCTCCAAAAGCCATGGCAACAAATTCATCACACACCATGTTTGCTACCTCATCAAATCAAATTCCCATTTTCGATGGAGAATTGTACGAGTACTGGAGTGCCCAAATGGAGCCTATTTTCATCTCTCAAGATCTGTGGGATATCGTCCAAAAAGGCTACGAAGATCCACAAGACGAGGATGAAGATTCCAAGAAACGAGCAGGCAAACAAACAAAGGAGTACAAGGAGAATGCCAAGCAAAATGCCAGCGCCTTGAGAATAATTCAGCAAGCAGTGAGCAAATCGATTTACCCGAGAATCTATGGCATCAAAAAGGCCAAAGAAACTTGGGATGTCTTGCGTGAACAATTTCAAGGTTCTGAAAAGGCAATCTCTATCAGGCGCCAAAGTTTATGGCGACAGTTCGACAACTTGATGATGAAGGAAACCGACACCATCAAAGACTTCCATTCACATGTGGCGGAGACAGTCAACCAGATCAAAGCCACCGGTGACGTCATGGAAGAGAGAAAGATCGTGGAGAGAATTCTCCGGAGCTTATCATCAAAGTTCGAGCATATTGTTGCTGTCATTGAAGAAACCAAAGATTTGGCAAATTTATCAATGAGCGAGTTGATGGGCTCACTTGTAGCACACGAGCAAAGAATGAGCCGATTCACCAAACCGCCATTGGAGCAAGCTTTCTCATCAAAAGTCAACATGACGGAAAGTAAATATGCCAAATCGGAGAAAGGCCAGAGAGGGGGAAACTCACAAGGAAGAGGAAGAGGAAGATCCAATTACAGAGGAAACAACAGACAAAATTATCAACAACAAAGATCGGGCTACACCGGCTCGAGTTGCATAATTTGCAAAAAGGCGGGTCATGCAACAAAAGACTGCAGATTCAAGTGCACCAAGTGCAGAATTCAAAACCACTCCCAGAGAGATTGTTGGTTCCAGAACAAGCAAGAAGAAGCCGAGTCAAGCGGCACCAAAAATGAAGAAAGCAATATGGTGGCCTTGTCATGCTTAAATGGTGAGCAAAAATCACAGCTTCCCTGGATGGTGGATAGTGGTTGCAGTAACCACATGACTGGAGATCTGGAGTCCTTCACCGACATCGATGAAAAATACCGCTCTCAAGTCAAGTTGGGAGACGGAAAGAAGCTAAAAGTGGAAGGAAAAGGCACAGTTATTGTATGCAAAGAAGAAGGCAACAAAACTCTCATTCGAGATGTTTTGTATGTTCCGGAGCTAACTCTCAATCTACTTAGCGTGGGACAACTGATGCTGAAAAATTACAAGCTATTGTTTGATAATGGCGTGTGCGAGATTATCAACAAAGCAGACAATTTCATGGTAGCCAAAGTCCCGATGACTTCCAACAGAATTTTCTCTCTTGCTATGTCACAAAATGGTGAAGTAGCATTCAAGAGTGAAAATCTGGATCAATCCTTCCTATGGCATCTCAGATACGGTCATCTCAACTTCAAGGGCCTCAAATTGCTGAGGCAGAAAAATATGGTGGTGGGACTTCCCCAAATCAACAGAGAAGACAAAATCTGCGAAGGGTGCATATATGGCAAAATGCATCGTTTGCCATTTCCAAAGACATCTTGGAGAGCAAAAGCGCCACTGGAGTTGGTACATGCAGACATATGTGGTCCAACCCGAACACAATCACTCAGCGGTAAAAGATATTTTCTACTATTTGTAGATGACTTCACCAGAATGATGTGGGTATTCTTTCTGGAGCAAAAGTCAGAAGCTTTTCCCAAATTCCTTCAATTCCAAGCAGTAGCTGAGAAGGAAAGTGGCCATCAAATCAAAACTCTCCGTACAGATCGTGGAGGAGAATTTATTTATACTCCGTTCATGGAGTATTGCCGCAACAACGGGATAAAAAGGCAGCTGACGGTCCGTTACACACCACAACAAAATGGCATGGCAGAACGGAAAAATCGCACGATTGTGGAGATGGCGAGAAGTATGCTCAAAGCAAAGAAGCTTCCCAACAACTTGTGGGCAGAAGCAGTCAATACAACAATTTACATCCTCAGCAGATCACCAACCAAAGCAGTTCGAAACAAGACACCGATACATGCGTGGCACCACCGGAGGCCACAGGTGAATCATCTCAAAGTCTTTGGGTGCATAGCTTATGCACATATCTCTACCCCAAGCCGAGACAAGTTTGACCAGAAGGGAGAGAAGCTTATCTTCACTGGCTACAGTGATGAGTCCAAAGGCTATCGTCTTTACAATCCAGTAAAGAATGAAGTGGTGGTTTCCCGAGATGTGATCTTTGATGAGATGGCGGAGTGGAATTGGGAAAATCCAATTTCTCAATCTCCACCAAGTTATGAAATTCTGGAGGACTCAGCAACTCCAGAAGACCCCAGCAACGACCCAGATCCAGTTGCTAGTCCAGAAAGAAATTTCGCACCTAACCCAGAAGGAGATAACTTCAGAGACGTCGTAACAGACTCGGATTCACCTCCGTTGAGAACAAGGTCTTTGCAAGAAATTTATGAAACAAGTCATGTTGCATATTTTTCTTGTGAGCCTCAAGTCTTTGAAGAAGCATCCAAAGAAGAAGTTTGGAACGAGGCAATGGATGCAGAAATTTCCATGATCGAGAAAAACAAGACATGGGAGCTTGTTGATCAACTAGAGGGCAAGCCGGTTATAGGTCTCAAATGGATCTATAAAATCAAATTCAATGAAGATGGTACTATCCAGAAGTACAAAGCTCGACTGGTGGCAAAGGGCTATTCACAACAGTCCGGTATTGATTTTCACGAGACATATGCACCAGTAGCGAGGATGGAGACCATCAGAACAGTTCTCGCTCTAGCTGCTCAACTGGAGTTACCAGTATACCAGCTGGATGTCAAATCAGCATTTCTGAATGGAGAACTGGAAGAAGAAGTCTATGTGGAACAACCACGAGGCTATGAGAAAAAAGGAGAAGAAGACAAAGTCTATCGTCTCCGAAAGGCTTTATACGGGCTAAAGCAAGCACCGAGAGCCTGGAACAGCAGAATTGATCGATATTTTCAGCAAAACGGATTTCAAAGAAGTCCGAGTGAAGCATCTCTCTACATCAAAAAGGGAGAAGGAAAAGATTTTCTAATGGTTTGTTTGTATGTTGATGACTTGATTTACACAGGTACAAATCAACATATGATCGAAGAATTCAAAAGTACCATGATGAAAGAATTCGAGATGACGGACTTGGGAGCCATGAAATATTTTCTTGGGATCCAAGTGAAGCAGTCACCTGGAGAAATATTTATTTCACAGGAGAAGTACACCGAAGTTATGCTGAAAAGATTTCACATGGCAACGTGCAAACCAATCTCAACACCGATGGCGTTAAACGAAAAATTACAACGCAATGATGGAGCTGAAAAAGTCGATGGAAAGCTGTACAGAAGTCTTGTCGGGTAACTCATTTACCTGACACATACCAGGCCGGATATATGTCATTCAGTAAGTCTTATATCAAGATTTATGAATGAACCTAGCAAACTTCATTTTGCAGCAGCCAAAAGAATTTTGCGGTATCTTCAAGGTACTAAAAAATTGGGCCTGACGTACAAGAAAGAAGCAGAAAGCAAGCTGACTGGATTTACCGATAGTGACTGGGCAGGATCACTGGATGATCGAAAAAGCACATCGGGGTACATATTCTGTTTGGGTTCAAAACCCATTTCATGGAGTTCGAAGAAGCAGAAGACTGTGGCTCTATCTTCAGCGGAAGCAGAATATATCGCAGCTACTGATGCAGCATGCGAAGCGGTATGGCTAAAAAGATTAATTTCTGATTTGCAGCAAAATGAAAATGGTCCAACCATTATTCATTGTGACAACATGTCAGCCATAGCCATGACAAAAAATCCAGTATTTCACGCAAGATCGAAGCATATCGAGTTGCGTCATCATTTCATCCGAGACCTCGTCAACGAAGGATTAATCGTGATGGAATTTATCAACACCGACGACCAGCCAGCAGATATCATGACAAAGGCGGTCACCCGTGAGAAGTTCGAGAAGTTCAAGGAGCTACTCCAAATTGCAAATTAAGAGGGGGTGTTGAATGGTAATTTGCAATTAACCTTGCCATCAATAAACATCACACATGGTGGGCTCATTTGATAATAATGGATGAGTATTAATCATGACGAATGGAGGGCCAAATGATGGAGTGTCTTGCCAACAAAGATGACAAGAAGAGTGAACTACCACTGAATTATGAGAGGCATTTATCATGGACATTAGATGGATTGGATGCCCAACAAGATAAGAAAACAATGCATGGTGGACACACTTAAGTTAATGCCTTCTCAATTAAGTTCACATGCATGTAAGAAAGATGAAGTGTCTGCATGTGGTGTGTTGTTTCTCTCTTTCATTTTTACAATCATATATACATATGTAGTATGGAGTGTGTCTGAGAGTGTAAGAGAAGCAAAAAGAAAGAAAGAAAAGAAAGAAAGCTTCTACGTGTGTATGCAAAAAGCAAGTGCCAATAATAAGGCCTTGTTTGGTTAAGTTCATTTCTAAATTGAGTGATTAAACACCTATTGTTTCCTTTGAGTTGATCCTAAATTACCATTACTTCCGCAAATACCCAACAGGTTATATGTGGTCGTTTCTCGCAACCGGCCGGAGTTGTAGGCGGCGACGTCCTAGGCGGCGACTCTTGAATCAAGGAAATTGGATAGTGGTCTTCACCGAATCTAAGATCAATTTCATCAGTAGGTGAGTTGAACCTTACTATTTTGATTCGATTAAGTTCAGCGGCCCAGGAGGCATAGTCAATCTCTATGACTTCTCTGCACAATTCTTTGATTATGGAGAAAAGAGCCAAGCTTATGAAGTAAAGAGGTATGTAAGAGATTTGTAACAGAGGTAATTTGCGTGTCCAACAGTGGGGGCCCTTAATTTATCCGTCTCCTGCAATCTGAATTGAATTTCATTATGCAACTTGTGTCTTTATTATGTGGCGTGTAATTGAATTTTCTTTTTTTTTGATGTATACATTATCTGCATTAACTTGCAGTCTATTAGTTGCATCGTATTAAATATTTTTTTTACAGTCAAAGTGATCCTCTTTTTAACTTTGCATATACGCTTTTTATGTTTTGTTTCATAAGATTATAGATTTCCTCCCTTTGATTTTAACTTAGCTAAATATGATGTTGGTGGTGGTGTATGAATTGCTTTTGGGCTCTATTTGTACTGGAGTGATTAGAGATGGTCATAGTACTCTTTATGTTATCTTAGTCCAATTTATTTTAGGTGTTGACTTCAGCATGTTTAGTCTTGAGTTGATGTACAGAGTGTTTTGCAGGTTAAGGTAGGGAGTTGAAGAGGATGCTTGAAGACTAAAGGTTTGGTGGCCTAAAATTTAGTTACAGAAGGATAATGTTCTTTTTTTGAAGGATGATGTTCTTATTGTTAATTTTGTCAGCACAAATGAACTTATCTCATTAATTTTTTCCCACTAAACATGATTCATGGTTCTGGTTCTATGCTTTTGGTCTTGGTTTGATGAACCGAAGAGAGGAAAGTTTGTTATGGTGATAGAAGTTCTCATTTCTTCTAATTATGACAATTTACTTACTTTGAGCTTTCCTACACTGATTTTATGGAATCACTTGCTAAACAATACCCGCTGTTTTGGTTTTATTTCTCTGTGCCTCTTAGTTGTGCAACTCATTTCTCTTAAGCTATTTACCAGGTACCTCCAGTATAGAAGTATTTTGGCTTCAGTTTCATCAAAGAGTGTCTTCAACAAGACACATAGGCATGACGAAGGGGAACAAGTTTCTACTTTCTTTTGTTTGATTTGTTTTTGAGATTTATGTTCAGGTGTATCTTTTTTCAGTTGTTTCTAGCCATTTGGAATCCAACAGACCAACACCATGTCTTTTTTTTAGATAAACCATGTCTTTTCTGGGTGTTAGCAACTTGAAGCATCTAGGAGAATATCCTATAGACATGAATGATAGAGATTGAAATGAGCTCTTTTTTAGCAATGTTAAATGGTGCTACCATGCTGGTGATGGGGAGATGGTTAGAGGTTTCTATGAGGCATTATTTTAAAATTTTCCAACTGCACTCATTCTAAATCTAGCTAGCTGTCGTTCTTTCACGAATCAGTAGTAAAATCAATTTCGGCTATACTTTATGAGTGTTCTTTTCACATATGAGGACGAGGATGATACAGAAGAAAAAGAAGCCAAAGAAGAACGAATGGCAAGCCCTTGAATGGCGAACATGAGTAAGGCAACAATGTAGAGTTCAATGGGAAAGGTCAAAATTCACAGACTTGAGTACTCTTTAGCCTACTACAATTTCATATTTCCCTATTTACAGATTATTTATCTTATCTTATGTTGTGTTTTTTTTTGTTAGATTTATTTGCATTCTTTAGAGGAGGGTTTGTGCAAGGTTCAAGTATGAGTTGACAATGGTGGGTGTTGATTCATTTGGGAAGGGTTATCTTTTGGTCTTCCTCTTACATTTTTGTTCAGTTCGTTTTGTCAATTTCACCAACTGCGATTTGTTCATGTTACCCATGTCCCTTTTACGATATAGCTTGCGACCAGAAATGGATTTGGATCTTACCTCTTCGCATCCTCTCAGTTCCCACCCGTTCCGCAATAGCAAAATAGGTACTTTTTTTTACGATTGTCCTCTTTTTTTATTACATGGTTTAGTTCTGTAGATGATCATATCCTGTTTTTGTTGGCAGTTAGTGTCCATTCTTCTCCGTAAGTTCTTATGTATAAAAGTCTTCCTTTTTCAATTATAGTTCTTGTGCTTGCTTTGTATGTTTCAGGGTTTTGTTCTGTTTTGCCTCAGTTTATAGTTTTGTTATTTGTGTTTTTGGGGATTGTAGTGGTTGGATGGGTTTCATACTGAATTTGAAACGATTGCAATACTCAAGATTGAAGAGTTTGCCACTTTAACCTTCTCATTTAATGATCAGTGTCAAATAGTTTGTGTTGGTTGCATATAGGCTGATGTTTCCTTATGTCCTTTGCAGGCATACCAGACGCACTGGGAATGATTGAGCCATTATTCTGGGATATGATGGTCAGGTGATGATGAAAAGGACATACTCAATGAGACGGAGTCCAATTCTCTTGCATGGAAGAGGCAAACCAGGATACAAAACATGAGCAGTTAATGTAATCATGAGCAGGTAATGTAAAACATGATCCACCATTCTACATTATATATCCCCTGATGCTCCCTCCATCTAATGCAAAATCTTGATGTGTATTGGGTTCCTCTAAAAATTGAGCCACAATCATCTTTGGCATATCGATTTGAGTGATCTATTGGGATTTCTCAAAAGCTCATAATGAAGATACTGCAGCTTATGTAAGTTTGCTTGAAAATCCTTTTTTAAAGATAGGATTTCTCTTTTTTTTTCCCGAATGGCAGTATATGTGTCCTTTGTTGTCTATGAATGACAGGATCGTTGCCTCATTGTTATGAACATTAGTTATGTGAAAATGGCAATGATGAACCGACAAACTACCTAGATGGCCTATAGAGTATGCAAGGTTGCAGGTACCTGCATCATTTATGAGATGATTTGGATTACCAGACCTGCAATTGTGAAGACCCTTGATCCATTGCAAGATCCGAGAGAATTGCAGGTGAATTAGAATAAAATGATTAAAGGGACGGGAAATGACAATAGTCTGTAATAATTTGCACCCATTAAATATTTATATATTTGAGCAAAATGAATTCATAAATTAAACTTCGGGTCCATGTTTTTCATTCTAAGTATCTCAATTCTGAACTTCTATTGCTCCACTTTTAGTGCTTATAAGATATGAATCCTGTGAAGTTTAAGAAAAAAACTCTATTATCTTCTTTGAATGGATGGTAGTAGAGAATTGAGAATTGTTCTCTCATTTTGGTGATCTTTAGTTCTAATTTTAGTGCCTTGATTGAAATTTTGTTCATTGGAAATTTATGTTTTTAGTGTTATGAAATGGATTGCTATGACCATTTCCGAAATTTACTGATGATGATGTTATATATGAGTATGAACTACGGTTTCTTTGGTGTGTTATTGTTGCATAACTGTAACATCCCGTTTCGGCTAAAATCGTATTACTGTCGCTAGAAAATTTCACGATTTAAAATCGAGCATTTTGGCAGTATTTCGACAAAAATCGGATTATCGATCGATCGGATAAGTATACGTATTAATTATATATATATAATATTATATATAATTAATTAATTATAATATAATATTTTTTATATATATATATATATTAAGCGGCCATTCCCCGTCCATTATCATCTTCATCCCTTTTCCATTCTCGGACCGAGAGAACAGCGCGAGCAGAGGCGTTCAGGGGAGCGTGGGGAAAAATTGTAAAGCTCAATTCTTGAGCTACAGTGATCCAAAAATCCCGTAAGTAATGTCTAATTCATCTATACATCGTGATTTATCGATTTAGAGCTTTAAAACGAGATTTTGGTTCAGGAATTTCATGAATTCCCGATAAGCCAAATTAGGGTTTCGGAGTATCCGAAAGCCGGATTGAGCCCAAATTTCATATACGAGCTTCCTGCAGCGAGGTAATCAATCCTCTAGTTCTAATCCCTGAATTTCGGCTATTATTTAGGTCGGAGCCGGGATCGCTGAATTTAGCTCCGGCCAAGGTTTGATGTGTTTTTATCGAGAATTTGATCCGGAGCCTAGAACTAATATTGACGGGGATACTGCAGGGGATATTAGGACGGTCTCGGATTTTAATTCGGGGTTCGTTGGTGAAATTGACGTTTTAGTACGGGAAGGTTAAACCGGTGTTTGAACGACCAGAACTGGTGAGGGATTAGCACGGCATACCGGGTTTGTCGTATCACGATAATTATATTGATGCTTAGAATTGACCTAGGTGAACTAGAATGACATGATTAGGGGTGTATGGACTTTTGTGCTATATGATGAACCCTGGACTGCTATATGATATTATTGACTTGCCCTAATCGATATGGACCCGGCTTATGCTGATGATTGTGTATATGTTGCAAATTGTGGGCTTGACTGTTGATATGCCTTATGATGGTTCGAAAAGGTGATAGGGTATGATTGTTCATGATTGTTGTATTTGGATGCACATGTGGGAAAATATATATTCTCTGGTGATATTATGATGTTTAAGGAGGATGACTTGTACGAGGGTTTATCCCGAGGAAGTGCAATTATACGACTCCTGATTTACCTATGTTGAGCCAATTGTGGCCGGGTCAAGTACATGTGTAAGTAACGAATTATGATTAAGCAATATGAGATATGAATCATGTATAAGGATACCAAATATGAGTGTTGTGGTCTCACGGTCAATTACATAGTAATTAGGGCTCCCTATGCTATTACTCTATTATGATATGTATGATAGTCACACCTCTCTTGTGGTGGTGACTGAAGAATTCTTATGAGATATGACTACACCCATAGTGGTGTGGGGTATGTATGACCACATCCGACGGGATGTTGGGGTATGTATGACTACATCCGACGGGATGTGGGGTATGTTTCCCGGGAGAGTTATTAGCATGGGAGTAGCCATGCGCCTATAAGTAAAACATGATAAGATGCATATGCATAAGTCAAGGTGGTTGAGTCTTTTGCCCATTGGGATATGAGGATGGCTGAGGTCCGATCCTAGTGTTTTGGTTTGATTGGTAGATGTATGGTAGGGGTATGCTCTGTTATGAACTCACGATGCTATGATTATCTCACTCAGCTATGAGCTGACCCTCTTTTATCCTTTTTCTCTGCTTATGCTATGTGTAAGTAGATCATCAACAGCAGCAGTAGATAGGTGTTAGGTGGGAGAGGAGCTAGAGTTGAAGTCAAGATGAGGTATTGTCTTCAACTATTCTGTGCTTGGACGACTACTTGAGATTTTGGCCAGTGATCCACACCTTTTTGTAAAATGTTTTGAGAACGTTTTCCATGTGCATACTAGCTTCTGATGTAGTGTGAGATATCCACAGGTGTGGAAAGTTGATGATATGTGTATATGTTGTGTAACTGTGTAAGTTGTGACGATTATGGTATGTATAAGTATGGTATGCAGTTGTGGAGTATGAAAAGTGTGACTATGGCTAAGAAAAGCCAATGCATATGGTTGTGAGTATATATGTTTGTGATGAATTATTTTGCAGGATAAGTTGCAAGAGCTGTTAGCCCATTACGAGAGTAATTCATGTCGAAATTTTATTTGGGTAAATTTTGATAATTAATGTAACACCCAAGATTAATTCCGCTGCAATTGTATGAACAATATGATTAGGTAATACGTACAGGGTAGGGTGTTACAGTTTGGTATCAGAGCTGGTTTGTTTTCTGCATTATGGGTGTGTTACTTTCACCCTTGAGGACTGATCACCCTCGAAAGGGGAGGGAGTACTCCATACCTGT